TTCCATCAATAAAACCACTATTAGTTGGAAGGAGTCTTTTCAAAAGATGAAACATGTAATTTTTCCATTTTTTCATTCAATTCCACACTATTAGCCTGATATACAAATTTGCATATCTTCCATAAAGTTTTTATGAAGAGAAAAAAAAAGCAAGCATAAATTCATGTCTTCTCAACTACAAGAATGAATGTTCTCACAGACACAAATTAGCATGATTAACTAAAATATCTTTTTTAAATATATTATTTTACAAAGAACTCCACAACACTTAGCAACAATAACATCCCAGCCCGTGTCATCAACAAACAACTAAAACTACTCTTACTGAAATTTAGAAAAAAAAAAAAACGAGCACTCACACCGATATAAACAAATATAAACACATCATTAACTTATTCTATTGTAACCAGATGCACCCCCATATAGGAATACAGGTTTGATTCCTATCAGAGAACACATATTTTCTATGAAATTTCTCAAACATTCAGGCAATAAATATTAAAGACTATATTGACTGAAGAAAAAAAAATTTTTCCATGAAAAGTGAATTTTTACAAAATTTAAATTGTAAAAAAATGAAAACAAAATTGAATAATTTATAACATTTTTGCATCTTTTAAAGTTCAACTTTGATGAGATCATTTTTAGGGAATACTGTTATTAAGTAAAACTATATTTACTAATTATATATTTTAAAGCTTATTGCAATCTGAAGACCATGACTATTTTTAAAAAAATTATTACTTTTTTTTTTATATATATCGATGCAGAATCTCTTAAATACGGATGTACACACTGATAAACCTATTAATAAAAGGTCATGTGTTTTAAGGGTTGCCCCCTCCTTATGAGGAAAAAAAAACCTAATGAAAATTATCGTCTACTACACCATTATGATCACATTCAGCAGTCTATCTGCCATCAATAAATCGATTAACACATCAGAAAAACAAGATGCCATGCTTAAGAAATGATTGTATACAATATTTTATGTTATAAATAAGTAATATTTGTTTCAAATCAGATTAACTTAACTTTAAATTTGCTAATTTTCCTTAAATAATATTTCAGAAATATATATTTTATTTTTGCAAGATTTTTAAAACAGAAAATTAAGTTTTGTTTACAAATGTCTAAAAAATGGCTGAAATGATCGATTTTACTGGAAAAAAATGACACTCTATTCCAATCAATATAATTTCTATCTCAAATACACCAAAGCATTTTGCTTACCGGATATAGTAAATGCAATTATTTAGCTTTCATTTAAAGCTAAATTGAAAGCTTCAGGAAAGCTTTTTCATTTTTAAAAATTAATTTTAAACCTTACATATATCGAATTCATGGAGGTACCTATTCTGATGATTTTAAATAGTGCAATAAAAACAGCTATAGACCTCAGAGTCTCTCTCCTAATAAAGGCAAATAGAAATGCCTACCTTTATAAATTATTGATGTTAACTACAGACAGGCATTGTACATCAGACAACTTTAAATCATAAATGATGTTAAATACAAGAAAAAAATTTGATTAGCAAAGCCTTGTTAATATTTCAATGTTTATTATATGTTTTGAAAATGATGTGAATAAGCCTTTAATTATCAGTAAAATCACATGTTGCTTCTTTTTTTCTTTTATTGAATAGTGTTTTTCAGAGTCATCCTCATTTCCTTAGAATAAAAAAAGCAATGTACAACAGCTATTATGACTATGAAATGAGTGATCAGTTTATAACATACTTAAGCATCATTATACTCACACAACATTGTCTTGTTTATCAAATATTGATCATCTAGAAACGTGTTTTTCAGACAAAAGTGAGAAAAACTTAAAATTGATTTTGAAATTCAGAGATGAAGAAATCAACTACTCAGACTAACCTGAAGTTTACTTTTTTCCATGGCAATTTCCTTCTCTTTTGCAGCCATTTGTAACTGATATTCCATTTGTTGCTGCTCAAGATAAGAATTCACCCTCTCAATTGTTTGGCCTAAATGAACTTGTGTAAGGCAAGTGCCGAGTTGGTTTAAATCTTGACTTGAATTTACAAATTTCTGCAACAATAACAATGAATTCATAGTTAAGCCAAGTCAGAAAATGACTTTCATATATCCATCATTATTTTCATTTTCATTAATGATTCTCAATATACTGATAATTGAACATGCAAAGCCATGAAGCCATTTTGAATTGAATAAAGAACCAGTAAGCTAAATTTAAATTACATTTAAAGATACTTTTATCACTTACTCTCTATTCTGATCTTGCATAAACTACTCAGCAGGGCTGGTTACATTCAATGGCTAAAAGACCAAGCTTGTTACATTCCATCATTGTCAACCGGACCCCAAACTAGCACCAATTAGGATGAACAATGTTCCCCTGGAAGGCACCATGCCTTGAAAGACTATTGGGCCTCAAATTTGCACCTAACCAAGTGGAACTCGTACATACGATCCATTGCTAAGGATGCTGGTAAAATGGTTGGCTCCCTGTACTCTTCCTGCCATCCTCTACTTTTACACGAGCCAGATTAGGCCAAAAATGGAGTATTCTTGTCATATTTGGATGGGAGCTGACTAGACCTTACTCTCCAGCCTTGATAGAGTCTAAAAGCATCTCCAAGACCTTGTGGGTGACAAATTATTCCCCACTCTCCAACACCTCTCCCACAGGTGGAATATGGCAAGTTTCTCATTGCTCTATCGCTACTTCCATGGAAAGTGCTTGAACAAACTACAGTCTCTGGTCCCATAAATTCAAACCTTCACAGCAAGGACATGCCATGCCACTTATATAGTAGTAAACTACCCACATTCCCACCATAGTTCATGAAATAAGTTCCACTCTAACAGCTTCTTTCCGCAAACCACTGTTCTCTGGAACCAACTCCCAAAATGATGTTTCCTCAATCACTACAATCTTAACCTGTTTAAGGCTAGGGTTAACTGTTATCTTCCACCACTATCTGCACAAATTACCTCCTAAGGTAATCATCTACCTCAATTGGCCCCCAAGCCTTGCAAAAAAAGAAAAAAGTACCCTGTCCCTCAACTTGTCAATGGCCTGTTATAATAAAGAAAAGAATGGAACATTAAGTACTTGGGTAATGTCCTTTTACATTATTTTTTCTTAGCTGCTAAGGCTATGACATAAAAAATAATTGCTGCATCTACTGTTAATCTTGACAGATGAAAGTCAGTGTGATTTATAATAATTATTATTAGATTATAACAGCCATGGGGTAGATGTAGCAAGTGAATCAAGATCTAGTGGTTGATTTGAATAGAAATTAGCTAGATAAGTTGATGTGAAAAGTCTAGTGTTTCCTTTTTCAACTAAGTGTGGGATTTGCCATTTTGAACTAAAAAGTCCAGAAAAAGTGAGATTTAAACAAGTTCATGTTTCATAAGATTAAATTATTGACAAGAAATAAGCCAGGTATTTGTATGGTATTCAAGACAAGAGAAACTCTGGATGAAAAAAAAAATCATGCAAAGTGATCTGTTACAGAAATGAAATGATCATTAAATGAAATTTAGGTGAGATTAGATAGAGAAAGGCTGAACAAAAATTTCTCTATGGACAAAATGATGGATTGCTGATGATGATCATTAAACTTTCTCATCCATAGGAAGGGCAGATAATTCTTGAGAAAATAAAGAAAGACTGAAGTTTGAAACTGTATGGGCAGACGGAAAATTGAATTGAAAATTTACTAGGTAATGTTAATTCGTTAAGAGAATCAAATTGGTGACATAGCCAATACTGAATTATCCTAAGAATGGTGGTAAGAAGTTTTTCAACCAATGAGCACAAGAGAATCTGAATGGGGATGGGGGTGGAAATAAGCCAAATTTGGAGAAACTTGGAACTGACAAATTAGGGATTTTGATAATAATTCATGCTAATCCATCCTAGCCATGGTAGAACACCTAAATATAATTAGGACTATTCTGTTCCTTGAGAGTTGGGTAGTCCGGACAAGGTATGTAGTCAGACAGAAAGGGCAGCAATTGCTATTTAATTACCAAGGAAAATGCTGCAAGTTTATGTCATCAGCAGTTTTCACCACTCCTTGCAAGATACTGCCCCAAAAGGGTTGGTCAATGGAATAAATTTTCCCCAACCTAAAAAGTTTTATTTGCAGACTGATGTGGAAGAGGTTTTGGGGACTAACTTTATCTGCAGGACTGAGACCAAATTTCCCTTATTGTATTGTTGAACCAACTACTGGTCACTAGTCTAAGGCATTGCTGTATTTTAATTTTTTGAATATTTGAATACTGCTGACATCTACTAACTCACATAAAATAAAATGACAGATTGCCCACATTATTTTAAAACAAATTATTTTAAAATAACTATTTCAGTACAATTTATGTCATTTTCATTTTGTATAAATTTCAAAATAATATACTTTTAAAAAATAGGAAAAATTATTAAATCAAATACTCACTGTTGCATATTAGAAACTTTGATAGTATTAATTCATAATATAACTTTGTTAAACTTTTGAATTAAACAAAGATTGTTGAATAGAATTATATGAAAAGAAGCTTAATACTCATTTATTCAAATAAAGGAAAATTTAAAAAGTTAAAAAATAAAAATGCTTTTTAAAAAATAAATATTAAAACAAAGTATTTAAAATAACAATTGAAAAATAGAGAAAATAACTATTTAAAAAAGTTTAATACTTATTCAATTATTCAAATACTAACACCATAACATTTCTACTTTCACACATGCATATGTATGCTGCGACAATATTTTGCAGCACACTAGCATGCCACAGTATGGCAGTTGAGAATCATTGCTTTAAAACATGAAATTCATATTTGAGTAAAAATGCAATATTTGATTTGAATCTTCAGATAATTAGATTTTAAGTAATTTCTGACATTCAAGCATCTAAGTAATTTTTAACTAAAAAAACAAAAAACTCCAAGCACCCGGCAAAATACAATAACTTGTGTCAAGTGTCCAGAAGTCAATGTCATTGTGTATTGCCAACAGAAAAGACAAACAATCTACCAAACGAAAACACTATAGACAAACATACCACTCCTGTTTGTTTTTCTTTTTGTGTCTTTATTGTTGTTATTTCATGCTTCAAAACATTGTTTCTGAAAGAAAAACAATTACATAAAAATCAATGACTCTTACTATATAAGACTTCACTAACAGTTTTCTTAGTGCAACTGATCCTCTTTGTTGATCTTTAAATTTAAGATTCAAAGAAATGTTCACTTTACCTCTATATAGATAGATTTTTTAAGGCCAAGTTTATATAGAATGTGATGAAGTTGATATTCAGTATAGTTTAACACAAGCAGTTTTTGTCAAGTTTAAATTTGCATATGATATGAAAGACTCAAAAGTCTTAACCACATACTAGGTACTGCCATGAACTTTCTAAAAAAAATTAAAAAAAAAAAACAAACCGAAAACACACATTTTAAATACCTTCTTTGAACTTAAATTTCAGTTTTATTTAAAATATAATGGTTTAAAGTGAACTCAAAATAAAAATTAATTTCCTTATATAAATAAACTTTTTTTCATCATTGATCAAGCCGCCATTATATATGAAAAATGTAAACAGTAAATTTAAAATTCTCTTTACTAAAACTAAATTTTCTTTAACTTTATATAACCAATAGTTTAAGATTATTTTTTTTTATTCCATACATTTTTATTAAACTGAATATAATGAATAGTTTTATTTTTTATACTAACTGAACGGGAGATATGAAATTAGATTAAAATACTCCTGATATTGAATAGTAGTCAGTTAACATGAGATATCAGAATTATTTACATCCATACCAAAAACATAAAATGAAATTCTTTTAAAAAAAATTCACACTTGAAAATGACATTAAACTTTTATAATCTTCAAACATGTCTATTTAATAAAATAGACTCTTGCGACAAACAGGTTCAGGATTAATTTAAAAATTGCACTGAAAAGCAATGTTTTTTAATAAATATTAAGTTTTTATATTTTTTGTATAAAGAAAATAACATGTTTTATTAAATTATGTAAGCATCAATTCTCAAAAAAATATTTTTTGAAATTTATTGAATTGTTTTTGTCAAGATACCAGCAAATTTTTTCATATGTTCACTCAATTGCATAATTTTTTTTACTGAAATAATATCTTCAGGGATTACTTTTTAAATAACTAAAAAATTTGGATAAATACACTCCCCCTTTAAAAACTATACACCTAATATTGAAATGGGGGAGTGAAACATTCCACAATTTTTTTTAATAAAATAACCCATTCAATAAAATATTTATTCATTAATGAACAAGTACTGAAAGTTTCATTTGAATTGAATAATCCCTGATTTCGGGCAAATATTTTAAAACAGTAGGTGTAGTTTTTTTGCAGAACGAAAGTATCCATTTTGGATTTGATGATACCTACTTAATATGCAAAAAACATTCACCAGCCACTACATAAAATATGTAGCAATTAGTAATAAAAAGTTGTGTAGTGTTTTCATAAGCAAATGAAGCTAACTGACTTAGGCTAATTTAGATGTAATGTACAAAGATGCTATATAGAACTTTTCAATGTAGACAAATTTTACTTTTATGGCATCATGGTAACTACAATAAAAATAATTATTTTATTTATTTTTGTACTTTTATATTAGCCTAATAATGGTTTACATTGTTACATAATGCATCAGTAGTTGAGTGTTGATACTATTGCAATGGCAAGTTAGAACTGCTTAACAAGACCAAAGTAGCCTGCATAGTAAATTAAAATATGCCTGCACAGGACAATATCAAAACAAGACTTTTCCTAAAATTGCTCCATAATGCTTTATTAGCCCAATTTGTTGTTTTTTGGTCAAATTGAATGAAAAGCTGCAATATTTTTTTGTCTCTTCACTTAGTGTATGTGTGTGTCTTATGTAAAACCAAAAACCTGTTTTGTAATTATATAATTAATTTATATAAATTAGAAGCAGGTGACCACTTTGGGCATTCCCAAGCCTCGTTTTCATTTTCTAACCACAATAAAAAAAAACATATGTAGCACAACAAAAGCGGTGTATTGTAATTTGTTCTTTGGTGGCTCAGTGAGAGTAAGTGTGAGATTTAGGTAAAAATGAAAATTTATAGAATGAGTGGGTCAGTGATTGTGACAAGTTGAGTTGGAGATTAGGATAAAGAAGACTCTCCCCACCACATTCCCCCATTTTCAACATTATGCCAAATTTGTCAATTCCAAGAATATTGTCCTGTAACTCATTCTTGTTAAAATGTTGAGCCCGTGGAACAAGATTTAGCGAAGAGAGGTGAGGGGAAGTGATTATTAGTATCATATTTCATTCAGAATTTTAAATAATACAAGTTTCATGAGGAAACTTATTATTACTTCTACTACTACAATTGTAAGCAAACAACTTTATTTATACTTCAAGGCCACTCAAGTGCAGAAAAGAATAAAAAAATTTTCTTAACAAAAAATAATAGCAATAATAAAATAACCAGACAGATATAAATTTGAATATAAAATATAAAATAATTAAAAAATAAATAATTAATAAAAGCAGTGTAGATAAATAAATATTATAATAGTCTAAGTTTTGCCTTTTACTCTTACTTTTAAGAAGTGTATTTAAAAGGAAGCCAGACAGTTAATAAAAAATAAATTTGATGTGATACATTTATCTGTTTCTAAATATAGAATTGGTTAAAAAAAAAAAGAACTGCCAAAAAATAATTTGGTTGAGACAGACTGTGATTATTCTTTCAAATTTGAAATATATATATATATCTTGAAGTTTTTCTCCAATTGGAAGGGTAACTTCCACCCACATAAATTTAAAAGTTGAAACCTGTCTGAGCCTCTTTCAAGGATATATAAGAAGACAGGTCAGCAGATAATTTTAGAAAAAAATAAAAATTTCGACTAGAAAGTGTAATAATTTTCAACCAGAAGGTAATGAAAATATTGAAGAAGTCAGAAGACAAGGAGACATGAAAATTTCAACTTAAAGGCATAAAAAGATTCCAGACAGAAGAAAAAAAGATATTTTGGTTGTCACCTGTGGAAGAGCTGGGCTGTTTCTCACAGAAGAAAATCCCCCCCCCCAAAAAAAGTGAAATCTATGAATAGAACTGTGTTCTAAAAAAATTGTTAAAAGTCATAGTGATGCAAGTAAATTTGCTAAAGCTCTTCTGTTTTTTTGTTTTTTTTTCAATTAGGTGGGGGCATCTTTTTTGAAAGTGTGTTTTGAACTTTATTTAGTTTTTGCATTACTTCTCAAAGTTTTTCCATCATTGCAAGTTTGTATATCTTTTTAAGAGTCTATAATTCTTATTTTGATCTGTTATCTGGCTTTTACTAAAAAGATATGCAAAAGAAAATTTGTGTACAAGCTTTTTAGTAAAAATTGTATTTTGTTATATTGTTTTGTTGTCTATGTAATAAATACTTGTTCCCTTAAAATTTTGCATAGTAGTTTCGAGTCTTCTTTGTTTTTGTATGCGCCTTTCTCTATAACCAGGATAAGGGAGGTGATGTTCACAACTTCCAACCGAAAAATCTTTTTAGATCAACTCACTTTTCTCTTTCAATGTCCAACATAGCATCAGCAGAATGAAGACATTGGGTCGCTTGCCTTGAATTTTGCTTATACTATCAAAAATAATAAAAGCAAAGAGATATAAGAAAAAGTTTTGTTATACAAAAGAAGTCAATTTTATAGAAACATAGCAGTTAAACCAGATTAATTATAAGTTTTTCCCCACTTTAATAAATGATCAGCACTATACCAATTTTCTAGCATCCATGATTTTGTTTGCAAATCTTGGTCAAATTCTTGATTTTTACTGGAGCAACGGAATATTTTCATCACTAGTAGAATGTGTAGACAGCATAAATGTTATAGAACATGGAATCTGCCTTTTTTTGTGTTCATTTCACACTAATGCTGTTGAGAAAATCATATTTCCCTTCTAGCTTTGAGTTAAAAAGCAGAATAGAGAAAAACTGATTTTACAACCTAAAAATATTCTGGCTTCATTTTGTTGGAATAGCTGGTGGAGATAAATGTTTCTTATCATCCTAATATAGCATTACTATATCCATGATATGGTAATATTTTGTTTGGAGTTGAAAGCAGACAAGGATATAAATATAACATTTGAAAGGATTGATTTGTTTTCTACAGCTTATCAACCTTTTGCAGATTATTTAAAGCCAGCCATTTGTTTTTTAAATTGTAAGAATTTTTCGGAGATAATAATTATTTACTGATACAAGTCCTACTAATTCCCATAGCTGGGAGGAGAAGAGATGGATTCATACTTTTCCCAAGGGCATTTGCATGTAAGTGAATAGAATGAACCCAGCTGGAATTGAAACTCGGCTCTCCAATTTCCACACATGCTTCTAAGCTTAAAGCACCTGGTATTCCCAAGTAGTCACCCATCTAGGATTGACATCGCTTAACTTTGGTGATCATATGAGAACCTGTGTTTCAACATGATATGTCCGTAAGCATTTGAAAGAAGACTATTTACAAAAACTATTATTAGCTACTACTTTATTCAGTGAACCGAAGACACATTAGCAAATATGGAAAAAAGAAGGAAATAAACGTTTTACTGGTGACTTGGCTTAGTTGTAAATTGCACCAGTGATGTGGCCTTGGCTGTAAAAGGCAAGAAAAAAATGGTGGTCTGGAGTAGATGTGATGCCATTCTGACGAATCTGCACCAACTGGTGAAGTGAGTTATATTTCGCGCCTCTAGCCTGAATGTTACAGGACACATGTCTTTCCTTTGGATATGTGCCTAAAATATAGCCAAGTTATGGGTAGATAATTAAGTTTTATAATACTAAATTTCTATTGTAACCTTGGTAAAAAAAATTAAAAAAATGAAGAGAAGTCCTGGAACTTTGCAGAGTCAATGCTATTTTTCTTACCTTTTCCATAATTAATCGCATTCGCTTCCGTTCCCGTTCAAACTTTGATATCTGAAGTGGAAGATTTCAATATAAAAACAAAAAAAAGGCATGGAACACACACAAGCCCATCACCATGCACAAATGACACAATGAAACCCTTTAAAACATTTTGGTTAATCTTTTTTTCTAAAACAATTCTAAACCAGCTTTAATAAAATCTTGTTACAACATATCTGTTTCAGACGAATAAACCAAACAAATGTAAAGACCTAACTTATTACATTAGAAAATTCTCAGTCCTTTATCTTCATCATATCGCATCTATGACATTTTTATTGCCTAATAGCCAGTTTAATATATTTCTAACTATCTTTAACACTTATTCAGCAGTGACTACAGGGAGATTGCCTCTTGTTTGCTGGTACCACAGTTGGCAAAGTGTGACATCTCAAGTTGAATTTTTCTGTTAAATCAACTTTAAAACAAGTTTACATTAGTAGCTTCTCTTTCTTCTAATTAATTACTAAATTATTATTGTTGTAATGTGGAAAACAAAATATTGACTCTTTTGATAAATATATGAACTATAAAGTTCTTGTTTTATTTTGCAGGCTTTTTTTTCTTTTTTAAAATAATATTGCATTAATTGAAAAAAAAGGGTGATCTCCTCTGGAGCAAATATAGGCTCAAGTTTGAAAATTCAATCTTTTTTTATTGCAGAAACACATCAGATTAAGTCATAGAGATCACATGGTTAAATAATGTGGTAACAACTCAAATTTCACATTAGCTTCTAATTTTAAGTCTGTGCTACATTCTTGTTTTCTATGCTGACAGAAAAAAAAAGACATTTGAGCAAAACACTGAAAAAAATTCTTTAAGAAGAACAACAAGGAATACACAAAGTGTCAAGCAAGTCGCACCAACAGTTGCTTTTTTTTCTGTTCAGAGGCTTTCATGTAAAGAATTTTTCGTTGAAGACGACGATTCCTATATTAAAGATAAAAGAGATTAAAATTAAAATTGGTTCACAGTTGGGATTTTGAACGAATTCACATCACAAAAAGACATGTAGGTTTTTTTTTTAAGAGTGGGGGGCATAACACTTTTTAAAGAGAAAAGGCTCTGTGCTTGCTGTTAAATTTGGTATTTTAATAGTGGCCATTATTAGTACTCAAACAGCTTATCGACTGTAGAATTCAATTCCTCAAAGTACAACTTGATCATTTACAAAAAAAAATTTAAATTAATAACATTTTATTCACAATTTTTTTCCTTGTGATTTGATGAAGTGAAGACTGAAAATTAGGCAAGTGTAAATAAGAATTTGACAAAAATAGTACATCACACATAAAAAAAATATGTACACAAATTCATTTGGCCTGTCATGTAGCTGAAAATTGTTTTCCCACCAATGCCAAATTTCACTGTTACAATTCGAGTCCAAGTGAAAGTAAAAATTATGAATGCTAGCATAATACAATCTTTTTATTTCCTTATTTCCACAGCTGATATTGTGTCTTACTCAGCTAAGGTTAATAAATATCAACAGTCTTAAGTTAAAATGAATGCTAATCCAGCATTTCTTATTGCATTATTGTCTATTTTTCCCTACTTACATATTTTTGCAAAATTAATGTAGACATGATAAAAACAACACTTTTTTTTTTAAAGGTCGATTGGAAGATAAAACATTAGGAAAAATGTGCGATTGTTTCTCTGCAAGTGAAAATTGAAAATAGAAAGTTGAGAATAAATTATTTTTTGCAAAGATGCTTACAAAAAATATGGGAGATAAGACAGAGTAGACTGAAAAATAAAAAGAAGCAAAATGATGTAAGGAAGTAGTTCGTAGATTGGAAAAAAATAATGTTCAGTTAGATTTTGGAAAATTATTTATCCTGAACAAATTAATTGTCAATTATTAATTTTTTCAATGAGTATTTTTCATGTAAATTTCAGTTGCTTTTTATCGCAAACTTTTTAGACAGTTATACTATGCTCATTTGGCAAACAGCATGGTCCCGAAAAAAGACAAGCTTAATGAGGAAAGGAACACAAGTTCAAATCTCAATGTAAGCTTGTTCTTTATTTCAGATTCATGCTGCATGATGTTAGAATGAGACCTTGAGAAGGTGTGATAAAGACAACTGAAATAAGATGAAAGAAATACTAGTTGAAAAAAGCAAAACAAATAATGAAATTTATTGCAATATTTATTGAACATTATACAACAATTCAAGCTATAATGATCATGTTGGTTGTTTTTATTACTTTTCAACTATATTAACCCAGGTATGTTGTATCCAGTAATCTTCAGAGAATCTGAATTGGTAAAATAAAAATATGTCTCTATTCCATTTTGTCTCATGTCCAGTGTCCTCAGAAATTTCAAAATTTGTAATTGCCAACTTTTTATTCATGATACTACTCTGTATCTCTCCACTGAGCCAATGTAATGCCTACCCTAAAGATTGAACTATAACTCTGAAGAAAGGAAAAACAAATTATTAATGCTTTTATCTAGTTGACTCCTTATGACTGACAGATGCATTAAACCTAATATCTCCTTTTTCTAATTATAAATTGGAATTAAAAATTTTGTGAAAATTTCCAAAAGCAACAGACACCCAAAAAGTTTTAAGTGTATGACTGAAGCACTCCTTTATAAATGAAATTTTGGTGACGAGATGCTGAAAAGATTGGCAGTAAGGTTTCATCATTTTACAATTCAAATGGCTAGATGCAACCATAAATTCTATGCTAACAGTTTTTTCTCTTGCACTTCTTGCTTGTGGAACACTCTTCCAGCATCTTGCTTTCCAGTTAAGTTTGATCTTCAAAAATTTAGATGCAATGTCAATTGTTATCTACTGTCTGCTTAATTCCCAATCTTTTATTGTTTTCTCTCTCCTTAATAATATTTACTTTTTCTCATATACTTTCAAACGCTTGCATCTTTGAATTAATTGCCTTGCTAGGGGTGAAATGATAAAAAAGAAAAGGTTTATGATGTCATGTGACCATTTCCTCTGCATAATGCAATCCCATTTTATGCAAAATATGTTTTTACAATTCAAGTATATACATGATTTCTTTACTGAAGATTTGTTAATTATCTCTACATCGAGGTACAGGGTGTCGTCTAAATTATGCAAAAATGAAAATAATACTGACATCTCATTTTAACAGACATATTCACCAAAATTACACAAAAATATCTTGAAATACTAAAAAGTAAATATATTCAATAAAATCACCATTGACTTCAAGCACAGCCTCCAGACAACTTCAGAATCTCCTGCAACTATTCTGGACAGTACCCTTGTTTAAGTTGGTGAATGCTGCCATAATCCTTGCCTTCAGTTCATATTCAGTATTACAAGGAGTTTTGTTGGTTTTTTGCTCAACTGTGCCCCACACATAATAATCAAGGAGGTTGCAGTCTGAGGAATTATGTGGCCATATGTAAGGGGTAGAGTGGTTGCAGAAATTGTCTGACAGCCATAACTCCTGCTTGTGTGGCATGGTGCAGAGTCTTGTTGCCACATACAGGGTCTCCCAGCAGCCACCTTCTTGACCCAGAGTAGCACTACCTCCTCAAGGCACTCACCAACAAATTTGAGAGTTCTTTTCTTCTTAGAGTGATCAGAATGAGTTTTCCAAGCTGCTGTATCTTTGTAATCACTGTTAGACTCATCCAACTCATTTTGAATCCTCTGCGCTGTTCTCAGATTGACACCTAAACACTCTGAAAATGTTCATATTGGAGCTTCTGGCACAAATGTTAAGCAGTACATCATGCCATTTCCAAATTTCCTTCAGAGTGAATTGTGCCATGGTGTTCTTTTTCTCACAGATGGTACCCAACTAACCCTACTATACTGTTCAGTCAACAAAATAAAAAACAAACAATGTGCATGAACAAAATTAAAAATATAAAATGGTGACAATTTACCTATCACAGCCTGTAGATACTCACCTAGCTTGTTCATATTCATATTTAGATTTTATAAGCTTCTGCTCAGACATAATACTTTTCAAGCATGGAATATCCTAAAATAGAAATTTCTTTTCAGGTTAGTCAATTTTTAAAGTAAAAGAAAAAAACAAAATAATTAAGAGAACAATTCAAATTATCCTTTCTTCTGAAAAACATAATAATTGTTTCTTTTAAGCAAGTATTAGTGTCTCAAACTCAAACAGCTGGCTTTTTTCTTTTCTTTTTTTTATGTAAATAATATTTATTTGCTTTGCCCGGAAAACTGTTTCACGGTATTAAAAATGGTAATTAAAAAGTGATCTGTTTTTCTAGGTTGACAGATAAGAACCTCTGATTTAAAATCATTTCATAAGAAATCCCAAAGTTAGGCTTGTAGGACTTAAGTAGATCAGGTCACTCACTGTACTTTATTCTGACATTAATTCTTCATAGTACAGCAATTTGAAACAAATAAATTGTGTATGGGACTAGTTTTTGTATCACTCCATAGAAAAGAGCTGGTGTGTTCATGTTATGACCATTTAGAGCCAGCTGTATTATTTCAAACATGACAACAAGACATTCAACATCAATACACTCAATAAAGTATAAGCTTCACAATTTTCACCCATTTGAAGACATATAAAATTTTCAGTGAAAGCTAAGAGCAAATCTATTTAAAGATAATCTTAGAAGAGTATTAGATTAGACAATCTCTTCTCTACATTTACCGATCAGAATTTGCTATTTCTATTATCAGCTACAGGAAATGGAGACCTTTCAATCACCAACAATGTACACCATTCACTACTGGCATTCATGTTTTTTTTTTGTTTTTTTACTAATTTTCACTAATTTCTACTGCAATACAATGCCCAAGAGACACTTAAAGTAGAGGGTTACTAATGTCTATATTCTTAGGTAAATCGGTAATATAAAGCAGAAAGGTAGGTCTGAAAAGAAAGCCTTGGGTAATGCCTGCATTGATCTCATGAGCTTCAGAAGACTAGCAACATTTACTATTAATACAAAGGATGACATTAATTCTGAAAATTATTTGTAAGTAATCAGTATACTATTAACAATCATTGATAGTTTTGTTAATATTTTGATATTTATTTGCATTCAAACATGAGAATAAGTATAGGAATACTGACAAAACAACCATAATTATTGATTACCTACAAGCATGTTTTTCAGATTTAACTGAATTAATTGTTTTAATATAGTTTGAGGAACAAGTATTTAAAAAACAGAAAAAGAACAAGGAATACAGATATTAACCTTTTGATCTTCTGAAATTGGTAGGTCCTGTGACTGCAATTGTGGCTCACTTTGTGACTCGTTTGACTTTGTTTTTGCTTGTTTCACCGCCCCCGCATGTATAAACGGCCGTGACGGTATCTTGAACTGTGATTGCATCAGTCTACGTCGCTCATTTGATGCCGGCAGTTGCTGTGTTGGCTGATGGGGTGAGCATTCAGTTTCCTTAACTGGAGCTGACCTGGTGTTAGTGAGTGGTCGTACAGATACCGGCATTGATTGCTGTAACAGCACATTGCCTTGTGACTTCTCAACCTGAGATTCAGGGCGTGGCCCCTTGGATAGTCGGTTCAGCAAATCCAGTTTTTGTTGCAATGTCATTAATGGCTTCGATACAGCATGTGAAGGAGTTTGTGTTTGTGGCCACAATATATCTCTTTGGCTTGTTTCTTGTGGAAAAGTCTGTCTCCGTTTCTGACTATCATCACGAGATGATCTCCGATGGTTGCATTCCTGAAGAAACCAAGCATAATTGTTATTAAGGTTTTGTATTTATTCATTTATTCCATAACATAATTTTCTATCTCATTCCAAGGAAATATAGAGTAGATATCATTTTTAGTTTGTTGCTCAGATTTCACTTGAACTTAGTGAAGTGTTTTTCATATTTATATTAGTTATTTACCATGTTTAAATTTTAATACTACAAATATTTACTAAGTTACTTAGTTTACATATTTCACACAGGGTCACAAGAGTAGGGTACTCAGTGAACCAATGACCATCTATGGAAAGTGGTGTCCATGGCAAGGCATTAAAATTGCACCCCTATTTGATACCCAAAGTAGAGCTTTTTTTATCATTAATCTTCACCCAATACAAGGCCCAAGGGCCACTCAAGGTAGAGGGTTACTGTGTGGCATTGTATGAACATAAGAAAAGGCAAGAAGTGAAGTGCAGGAAAAATAATGGTTAACCATAGACTAAGGGAATAGGGATAATTCACTCTTGTGTGTATGGCATGGTGGATCCCAGTTGTAAAAGTAAGAACTGCTCAGTTGTGATCGAACATTGCTTGTTTGATCTTGAGCATATTGAATTCTATAAGCCAGGCCTTCCCTTATTGAGCTACCTGGGTTGTCAGAGGAGAGATGAGCTGATAGGTTCTGGTCTTCTAGATCTTTGGAGGTGCACCTATAAACTGTTGTATCATCTGTATAGGGTCAAAATATGCTCTTAGAGAGATGATTAATATACAGATGAAAGAGGGTCAGACTGAGAAGAGAACCCTGAGGAATGCTGGCAATGATTTTATGGGTTCTCAATAACTGGCCCTTAACAACAATCTTTCTGTTAGGAAGGACTTGATAATTGAGAGAGCCCTTCTAGAGATTTCATAGCTGGAGAGTCTATGTAGCAGCCTCTGTTACCACACATTGTAAAAGGCCTTTGATATATCTAGGGCCATGATCCTCGTGATGAATTTATTATCTAGTGCCTTACTGATTTTGTGAGTAATGACAGTTAAGACATCAACTGTGGACCTAGCAGGGGAAAATTCATATTGATTATCACTCAGGAGGTTGTTCCTGTTGAGGTGTTCAATAACCTTCTTGTTGAAAATAGATTTCAAAGAGTTTGCTGATAACACTAAAGAGGCTAAATGGGTTGATACTGCGACAGGCATGAGTGCTCCCCTGCATTCTTAAAAACAGGGCACACAGTTGACACCTGTCATAGATGTGGTAAACATTCTCTTTCTGGCAGCATTTGAACAGTTTTGCCAGAATTGGAGATAACTCTTGGCTGATATTCTTAAGATCAACCACTGAATTTTTTTCTGAATTGGTGGCTTCCTAAGAAAAAGCTTTTGATAAGTTTAGAAACTTCCCATGCTGTGATAGAGATATTACAAAGTTTGTACTCCATGTGGAGGGGGAAGTCAGGTAAGAGATGGTCATTATTGTCTATTGAGTTAGAGACAAAGTTCTTGCCTTTTTATATGAGGATGTAATAACTTCTGGGCCATATTTTTATCCACAAATGAAAAAAAGCTGAATTTCAAGTTTTAAAAAAGCTGAATTTCTAAATCTGATCAACAAATGCTGGAGCATTGTGACGGCTGCTATGAAATGCTAGATGGTTGAAACATTTAAACCCATGATGGCTTCACCACCAGCAGGGTTATTGAGTGTTGATTTTGTTTAGCAGCATATCAACCTCTAAGAGTTGTATATTTTGAATCCAACTTCACAACCACAACTGAATATATTTTGTGCATAATTTTATACTATTATAAATGTATTGTTGCTAATTTTGCTATAATAATGTATCATTGCTCATTTTATGTACTAATTTTTGTTTGGGAGTTCACTATTTGCCAATAGCTGGGACTCCAACAGGTGCTACCACCCCAGGACAGAGTGGACCTGGGAACAGCAATTAAGAGGTTGTTCCATGCTCCTCAAAACCTCCTGATCTGAGGTCTTGCTACCAGATGTAGTTTATCATCATACTGAGGATGCCCACCAGCAGGGGTTACTCAGAGTATAGATTACACTACCTCAAAGAAGTAATCAATGGTTCAATGCTTGCAACAAAAAAACATGTTTTCTCTTCAATCAGAAACTCTACTGAAAAGATTTTCAAACCCTGCCCATAGCTATGCTTAAATGCAGCACATTCAACTAGACTTGTTGATAGCGGTAATGTTTACTGAGGTTAAGAGGTTGTTTTATATTATTTGCACTATCACTACCTACATTCACATACATCAACACTATTCATGATCCACTTAGCACACTTCAATGTAGCGATTCAAATATTCCCTACAACAAATATTTACCATGCCACTGTACTTCCAACATTACAAAAATGAAAAACTGAAATTTTCAAGTCAACCTGAAGTAGAACTTATATCACTGAACATCATTCTTTTTTTATATTGAACATACTGTGTAACAAGTAATAATAAATTTAAAGAAAATAAAAATAATGGATTTGGGAAGATTTCAAAATGATCAAATAAATATTTCATGTAATCAATGATGGTGAGAAGGTTAAAAGGTGTTTTCAGTTTGGGTACATACCTTCCACAATGCGTCAATATCTTTCTGGAGGAGGGATGTTTTGTTGGTCTCACATCTCAATTCAAACTCCAACACAGACTTTTCTTTTTCCAATCGTTGCACATTGTCATGCAAAGTTTTCTACAAATTGATGGGATTATTACATAACTATCTGTATAACCAGTAATGTCAGAAGAAGGTTCTAATTAAAGACATCAAGATTCACTCTAAAAAGTAACATGTAGAACAGCTCAGCAAATTCTGGTAGCAGGTGAGAAAATATTTAAAAAATAATAACATTTTAAATTTTAGTGCTGAATGCAATTGAAAGCTTTGTTTTGAATTTTTTCAAATTGCTACACATTAACATTTCAACACTAGTTAAATAGACTGGTCTGCTCGTAACAAAAAAAAAGGAAAAAAATAGGGATTAAAATTTTTTTTTGTGTATTAGTATTTGTTAGAATTACCTTCAGTCGTGACACTTGTTAGGATAGAACAAGATCGACTTTTATCATTTTAGAAGTGGGGGTCCTGTTCATTATATCGAGTCTGTCTAAAAATGATCCCTGACTTTTTACAAATTTATCAAAACTTAGCTGTTTGCTTACAGTTTGAGACTATGCTTATGTTATTGATATATACATACAAAAACACATTTATATTTTACAGAAATATTTCTTTTAAATAAAAACAGATACATACTTTTTATGTTTTATTTTAATAAGCTATTTTATAAAAGCAATATCAATTGTTTGGTGGAATAGTTTTTTTTCATAATTCTTTTGTTTTTTAATAAGAAGAATTTTGTCATTAAAGAGCAAACAGATATATACATATTTTAAACAAGCAATTGTTTGTCAGGTGAAACTTTTTTTTTACAAAACAAATTTCTTTTAATTATTAAAGAACAAAAATTTGCAGCTATCAATGACGAAAGTACATTTTCAACTCACAACATTTGTAAATAAAAAAAACAAAGTTTAAAGAAGTTTGTAAAAATAAGGGATCAATTTGACATTGCATAGATATTATGAAAAGAACCCCACTTCCTTACTAAGTTGCTAAAAAAAATTATATCAATATTTTTCTATTCTGACAAATGTCTAATGAATGCTAATCTACAAAAATTATTCCTGGGAAAATTTTTCCCTATTTTTTTTTGTTTTGTTTCTTAATGAGTGAACCACTCAATTTCAGTGGTGTCACGTTGCTAGACAACTCTCGCCTCACTTATCTTTAATTATTTTTGTCACCTTGTCTTGAACCTCTAAACTCTCCTGTGTATCATAGAGCCACAGCCAATTCACATTAGGTGGTACTACTATGATTTTAATACAAAGAAAATCTTACTGGGTTACTCATGCACAATCAGTTTTAAATTCACAGTTGTCTTTTTCCAAGATTGGTTGCCAACCAAGGCTAGAGAACCCAGTCTGCCGAACTAGTATTTTTTGCCGCTAACATTAAATATATCTAGGCTGGGAAAATGTTATGAGTAAACATCAAATTTCTGAGTTACAATTTGTTTTAGTGAATTTCGGCACTCAATCTGCATACTACATCTTGAAAACGTGAATGGTTAGGAATTAATGGAAGCATTACTGACAGAAACAGAGTTTAGGTATAAGCAATTAAAATGCCTTTGCAATAAATGAAATAAAAGAATAAATAAAAAAATATACTTTAAAATTCACTTGTTACATGCTTACCTGAATTTTTTGCATAGAAAACAGGTCAGAATTTGTGCGTTGCAACAGACGATTGCTTGAATTCTTCGCTTCTTGGAGTTGTTCTGTTTGCTTTCGCTGCACCACTTTGGATTTCTCCAGCTGCAAGGAACCATCCAAGAGAGAAAGAAACTAAGTACCTCAAAAATTTGAGCTAAAATAAAAAACCTTAAAAGGGTACATGTAAAATAATTTAAATGTTTCTTTTTTAGTAGAATTTTGGTTTTATTTGAAAGATAACAAGTTAGTTATGGTTCAAGTATGTACCCCACCAAGTTTTGTATTCAGAGTTGTCCTTCACCTATACTGGTTTATAACCACTATTTAGTTCATAGCTGGGGTGATGGTTTCCTTCAGTAGTTGATGGTGATTTTCTAAGCATAGATTAGATGTGACACAAGGCCGAAATTGTGGAGCACCCAGTGAACATCAAGCTTATTACTCAGTTGTAATTGATCTAGCAAGACAAGCTTACTAACCATTACACCATGTTGAAATGACCAATTTTCTAAATGTAGCTTAGATGCGACAAAAGGCCAAAAATATGGAGCATCCAGTGAGAATCTGTTGTGTAGGAAACCTACCACCCCTCTTGAAGATGAACTTGTCTACAAACAAAGACATTAAATAGTGGCATGTCAAAAGACAGACAGAGTCGGAGAAGTTCTTGGCTGAGTTAGTTATAGACTACTCAGGCGATTTCTGTACCTACTTACCAACCGAATAAACCCCTTTTTATTGTTACGTGTTATTTGGCGTTTGTCTCTACTAACCCCAAATCAACATCATAACAGAATCAAACTCACTATTCAGTTGTAACTGATCTAGCAAAACAGGCTTGCTAACCATTACACAACATCGAAGTGCTCCTCTTTCAATGTGAATGTGTTCACTGAATTTTAACATTTTTATCATTATGGAATTTTCAACATATAAATATTGGTAAATTTTTCTTGTAAAATCCACAGAAATACTTCTTTTTGTAGAATAAAATATTTTTCTTAGGAAAGAAATGCACAAAACTTTTTTAAGTAATGGAGATTATTCGGTTACAATATGGAAGTTTCTTAAAAGCTCTAATGATTTGTTTGTTTTGTTTTATAGCTTATCAACCCCTTGTGGGTCATTTAAAGCTGAGAAATGTTTGTATTTCATAAAAAAATTTGTTTTTTTTTATACCCAATCATATGGTATCAACTATTCATTATTTTCTTTTTTTTTTCAAACATGGTTTCAGCTTTTTTTTTTTTTCTTTAAACCACATGTGTTCAACTACTTTGGTTGGTCTAGATATAATTTTTTTTTAAGGTTTATATTTTTTGGTATAAACCCACTCTTTTGAGAAATGATATATCATCCATCCTTGCTCTTTCAAAGGGCTTCCTTATGTTGTTTATATTGAAGAGAGCCTTCCTACATGGAGCAAAAGCTGTACATTCAGTCAATACATGTTTTATAGTGTATGCAGATTTGCATGTTGGGCATGTTGGTTGTTGTTCTCCTTTCAGTAGGTATCAGTGTATAATTCTTGTATGGCCAATGAGAAAGCAGGCCAATACTACCTCTTCAGAATTTTCTGTATCCTGGCTTCCATTCATCAAGTATTGGCTTGATTTGTAGTAATTTATTTGGAGCACTGTTACTTCAATACTGTTGCCATTTTTGTTTAATAAATCTGTTTATTTGGTTCTTCAGATATGTGTAAGGGACTTTGAAGCTCAGGTCAATTTCCATATTTTCAACATGTTTAGCAACTGAGTCAGCTTTGTCATTTCCAGTTATTCCAACATGACTTAGGATCCAACACATCACAACATCAGTTGACACAGATATTAAATGGTGTTTATTTAGCAACTTGACTATTAATGAATTGTCAAGTTTTTTTTAGTGCTGTTAGAACAGATAGTGAATCAGAAAAGATTATAATTTTTTTTAATTTTATTTATTGAAATAATACTGAGCGCTAGAGCAATGGAACAGACTTTAGCATTGAAGATGGATTTTTCATCTGGGAGGTGGTTACTGCTTATTTTCTTATGAGATACTGCTGCATATCCTGTTATATTTCCATGTTTAGAACCATCTGTAAAGATGATTGTGTGACTGGAATAGTTTTCTTTGATTTTATCAAATTCTTCCTGAAAGTTAAGAGGATGCATATTTGTTTTTTGGAATTTGCATAAGTTCAATATTATTTTTGGAGATTGTATCGTCTAGGGAGCAATGTTATGAGTGATATTCTCATGGATTGTTGTCAGTTGTATTTTAGATTCCTAAGGGGTTCCATTCAAAGCCCAAATGATTTTATAGTTTTTGCTTTTTTTGATAGAGATTTCTGTGTTGAGGGAGGAAAGTATTTTTGTAGAAAGGGTTAGATGAAAAGGATTTTAGTTTTGTATAATACTGTAGCACCAATTTTTCACATCTAAGATTAGGAGGAGTTTCGTCAGCTTCTGCATCTAAACTTTCAACTTTTTTAAAAGCCCCAAGCACCAATCTTAAACTTTCATGGATGGTAGAATTAAGGAGTTTTAAACAGGATTTTCTTAGACTCTATATAATGTTACCATAATCTAGTTTTGATTGAATTAGAGTCCTGTAAAGTGTTTGTAAAGTTTTCCAGTCTGCTCTCCATTCAGTGTGAGCCACCACACAAAGAAGTTGTGTTGCTTTGCTACATTTCTTCTTGATATATTTCAGATAAGGAATAAAAGTGAGCTTTTTATCAAATATCATTCCCAAGAACATATGTTGATCTACAAAAGGTATTTCAGTCTCTTCTAGTCTTAGAGTAGGGTCATTGTGTAGTTTTCTCTTCTGACAGAAATGCATACATTTAGTTTTTGCTTTAGAAAACCTGAAGCCATTTTAAGTTGCTCATTGGTTAACTTTATTAAGATACTGCTGTAATTGTCTTTCTATGGTGTGCATATGTATGGATTTGTAAAAAATGAGGAAGACATCTACATACAAAAGTCCTAATCTGGAGGTTAAAACTTTTACTATATTATTTATTTTTATTATATTGAATGGTGTTACTGATAAAATACTGTCTTGAGGCACTCCCTCTTCTTGTTTTTTTTAGATCAGAATGAATCATAGAAATGGAAAAATCAAACACTCTTCAAAACAAGTAAAAAAGAAAAAAGATATTTGCTTCAAGTGAACACTTACTTCTTCATTCAATTTGTTAAGTTCTACTTTTGTTGTTTTCAGAACTTCTTTTAGTTTCTACAAAATAAAAATAATTATAACAATGTGAAAAGGAAGATAAAAAATGATCATTAAAGAAACAAAAAAAAGCAGGAAGTCCTAAAAAATAACTCGCAAGATCTACACAAATACCTCAATCATTACCAAGTATAAAATTAAAATATATAATCTGGGCAATAATTTTGATGCTTCAAAGATTAGTGTTTTAGCCTAGATAAAATCCAAAATTTCAAAAGCAGAGTATTAAAGCACGTAGGTCATTCCCACAATCTTTACATTTGGCCTTGTTCCAAACTACTCTAAGGTTAATGAATAAAAAAATATTTAATTGAAGGACTTTTGTCATGAAAATATTATGAAGTTTACCTTCCATCAAACCGACATCAAACTGGCAGCTCAGACTTTTAAAGAAAAACCAACTTAAATCTATAAACACATCTTGACATTTATATATTTACCTTCTACTTGAATACATTTATTCAAAAGAGCAAAATATTTAATTCGATCAATATTTTTTAAAACCAAAGAGAATATTTTTCTCAGTCTGAAGAGAAACAAATAAAAATTTTTAAAAAAATCACTTCTTTCTCTGATTGTTCGATCTTCAGTTCTTGCTTCAGTTTGGCAACTATATTTTTCAGTTCCTTCTTCTCGATACTGAATGACCTGCACAAAAATGAAATGGCCAAATTAGATAAAACATGAATAAACAGGGACAATGATCACATGTCATCATAAATGAAATAAGTTAGACAAGAGGAAAATAAATAAAACAAGGTCAATATTACTAAAAATATATATTTTTTTTAAATGCAATTTTTACACCATACTTGGTAGACAAGACATTTACATACTTATAAAATTAGTTTCTCCTAGTGGTGTATAAAGAAATCTATATTGGATTTCATTAGCCACTATGTTTTGATTATTCAACAGAATAATGTAGCTAAGGTAGTTTATAGAATAATGAAGGACACAAGAACAGTTTGACAGACATTTAGCACAACTTTACAGATAGAATGGATATCTTGAAGTGATTAAATATTGGAATATCAATATTCTTTGTTAACTGTGGCCCAGCAAAATCTACATTTGCTGTAAACATAACATTTCTTTTTGTTTGTTGGGCTATCCACGATTGCATATGAAAAATCGTTCTACAAGACTTGTACTTCCTTACGTTTGTTTTCATTTCAAACTACATTTGGCACTATTATTCATCAAATCACCATTAGATTGAATGTAAAAATGAAATTACTTATTGCAAACTAAAAGAAAACCTTTATTTTCAAACAAGGAATACAGTTCTTCTTTTTTTTTATAGCTATACATTCATTAAATCTATGCAAAGATTTAATAAAATGGTTGACATGTTAAAGTATGCTTAGAATTGTAGCTTAACAGGTATAGGTATTTTTAACCTATAATTCTTGGTGGGGATCACATTACCAAGATGTATTCAAACTAATCTCAAATGATTTCTCACATTGTTGAAAACGTTTAAGTGTTTGTTAGAGAATTTGGAGGAAGCATTTTCTACAGTTCATATTTTAATCTTTGTTGTAGTGTTTAAAGAACAATGACAAAGAAAACCAATTTGTGAAATACATGAAATAACACTGACTTACATTTCTGCTTTCTTGTAGGTGTTTACATTCTCGTTCATTTTATTTTGGGCTATTTCACAACACTTCTCGGTTTGAGTCAATTTCTCTAACAAGTTGTGTTTCTCTGTATGCAATTTGTTTAAATTTTCACTCAGTTCTTCCTTTTTACGCACTAGTGCTTGATATTCCCTGTCATGCTGTTGACGGCATTTTTCAAGGAGAGACTCTGACTGCATCTGTAAATAACCAACTTTCAACAATTAGAGTTTTGCCATTTTGAGCCTTTTAATATGATATCAACAATTTTTAAAT